GAGATATCTTGGCACTCCAGGCTGTTGGTTTAGAGAAGAGTTGTTTGGTTCTTTGTTTAAAAATGACTGTGTTTTTAATAGATATACAATGGTTTTTTTGAGTTGCAATGGTGGAAAACATGGGAAGGTTTTTTATTGTGTTCTGTGAATCCGGTTTCCAATTTTCTTCCTGTTTCTCTGATGTAGAATTCTGGGCAGTTATTGCATGTAATTTTGTAGATGACGTTGGTATTGTGTGATTCTAAATAATTCTTGTTTGGTAATGATTTTAATTAGGGCTGGGTTTTTTAGAGAATTTGACATTGACAGGAATATTGTATTTAATAGCTAGTTTTGTCCAAGTGGGGATAATTCTCGTTGAATTTTAGTGTTATCTACTCAGTTATAATTCAGTTTTTGGGGAGGAAGAGAGAAATTAAGTCCTTTACCTAGGGCGGATTTACATTGGTTACTTAGTGTAATATTAGTGAGGTTCACAATTGGATTATCAGGATAAAAACTATCAGAAAAGTTGTTAGTCAATTTGCTCAGCTACACATTTTGGACATGTTCAGTTTGGGCGATTTTTCTGTCGTTGTGTTGGCTCAACTTGTTAAGTAGATGGGTGTAATCTAATTTACTAATGATGTTCTGAAGATTGGTTGTGTCAACGTTAAACTTTTCAGTAAGCTGTCTCTTCTGACTGTGTTTCAGTTGAAGTTCTTGATCCAACAATTTCTTTTGACAAGTCCTGTAAGCTGAAGAATTGTGTAGGTTTCGATTGGATAATTTAAAATGGAGGAACTTAGGAATGACGTGTCGGAGCTTGCATTTAGTAAGGAAGCAAATATCAAGATTAACTATCTTAATTTTACACGCAAAATATCATTTCCATATCATCAAATTAGGACATTAGCAATCGATGTGCTCAAAGGAAAACAAAGTTTGATAATAAACAAGATTACGACACTTATGATATACAACATTGTTTATTGACAAAAAGGGGACATAAATAAACGTTTCAAAATTCTATCAAATTCCATCTTCAGTATCTAAAGCAAAATAAAATGAATTTACATAAGTCTTTGGACATTGTTAAAGTACAATTGCTAAATGTAATGATAATTAAACAAATAAAACACAAAACAGTAATCATGGGGAGAAACTACAGCAAGAAAACACAACAACAGAAAAAAAGAGTAAAATCAGTAATACGAACATATTAAAAATGCATAATTTAAATGAAGACTGCATGTTTTTCAGTGTTGTAGAGTGATGTTTGATGTGGAAGGTTTCTTTAATCAGTAATTCCAGGTCAATATTACACTGGCAGAGGATAGAAACATTTGATAGTATAGGTTGATGTCCTGTTTCTTCACTATGTTGGCGTATAGAGGAAACACTGGGGTTACTAAATTTTTTTTTAGATTTGATGGAAATTCCCATATGTTCATAGGCTCTGACTTTTAAATGGCATTTGGTTTTGCCAATATAGGAGGCCTTACAGTCTCCACACGTGTAAAGATAGACAAGCCAGGAACAATAAGGAATGGGAAGTAGATCTTTAGTAGGGAAAAAAAGAAATTATGCATGATGTGGATTTAAAAACTAATCTGAAATCCACTTGAGGATAGTTATGTCCAAGTATGCATTTAAGTTGATTTGTTAAATTTAAGCTTTGTTTGCCAGTATAAAGAAGACTCAAGTATATAGTAAGTTTGGGTACAGTTGGTATCTTAATTGGATTTGTGAGTTTCTTTGTTAGGAAGGTGTTGGTAATGTTTTTAATAAGTGTTGTGGGTAGCAGTTACGTTTCAGTATATCATGTAAAAACGAAATTTCAGTGTAAATTAAGATACGTGGAGCACAGGTTGTAAGCTCTGTTTAGTAAGCATGTAACAAGGTTTCGTTTATACGTAAATGGGATAAAGCTATCAAAGTGTGTAAGGAGATAAGTGGACGTCTTTTTTCGGTAAATTGATGTGGAAAATCCAATAGCATTATGGTTAATGAGGATGTCTAAAAAAGCTAAATTATTATTACTCTCAACCTCACATGTAATTTTAATGGCAGGATGTTGTGAGTTAAGGTATTCAAAAAATTATTTATCATTGATCACTGTTATTAAAAAGGATAAAAGTGTCATCCACATACCTTCTGTACATAACAGGCCTAAAGTTAACTGGGCAGGTGCCAAGCCATTTCTGTTTGTAATAAGAGAGAAATGCATTAGCTAAAGCTGGACCCAGTGGGGAGCCCATCGCAACGCCAACTATTTGTTCATACAAGGTGCTGTTGAACAGGAAATGTGAATTCTTGGTAGTAAGATCCAGAATGGTCTTAATTTGGTTTTCAGAAAAGCTATTTAGAGGAATGTTATTATGTGAAAGCTCAGATATACATGTATTAATAATTTCATTTAGAGGAGTATTTGTAAAGAGGGAGGTAACATCAAAGCTTGCCATGAAGAGATTATCTGAGGGGGTAGTTGACTTAGTTCACATTCAAACTGGAAGAAATCCAGGATAGTATATTCATTAGTAGTGAGTGTCTGAAGTATAGGTACAAGGAATTTGGCAAGTTCGTAACTAGGTGTGCCTATAGTGGAAAGTTATAATTATGGGAGCTTTTAATTTCAAGCACTTAGATTGAAGGATGTTACAGACCAATCATGAAGAAAACAGGTTTTTAGAAACTGTTCAGGATGATTTTTTTCAGCAGTTGGTAAGGAGCCTACTAGGAATAATGCTATTTTAGATTTATTGTTAACTTCTCATAAAGAAATGGTGTATAGAGTAGAGATTGGGGAGCATCTGGGTGCAATTGCTCAATTAAATTTAATCTTTTGCTGCATAGAGATGATGAATAAGGAGGTTTTGGTTCCAAATATAAAAAAAAACATTTTGAAGAGACAAGAATTATCTGCTGTGACTTGAGCAATTGAATTAATTAGAGATACTGATCAAATATTGAAAAAAAACTTTTAATAAATTCTTAATATTCAAGATAAGCATGAGAAAAAAATGGTTGCTGCAAGTTAAAAACCAAGTTGGCTCATAAAGAATATTAAATTAAAGAAAAGCATTATTAATATAAGAAGTTTAAATTCATTGCAATAATGGGAAATTTGGAGGACTACAGAAGATCAAGAGTTGGTCAAATGGGAAAATAGGAAATCAAAAACTATAAAAAAGTTGGCTGAAAATGTTAAAATAGTAAAAATTTCTTCAAATGTTAGGACTTGGAGTAGGGCCTTTGAGGGTTGATACAGGAAGGCTGATATCATATGATTATGGAATGGCCGATTTATTAAATTCTTCAGTTTTTACTAATGAAGTTTTAAGCAATATTCCTCAAACTGAATTGCTAGATGGAAACAAGGTTGAACAAGATGATCACATTAATTTTGAGCTAGTTAAAAAAAACGTTGGAAAGTTTAAAGAATGATAAAACACCTGGGCCAGATAATATTTACTCAAGGGTTTGGAAAAAGGTTAAGGACTAGATATGTTAACCATTTGCTATTATTTCTTTTAAGTCCTTGAAAAGTGGGCAGGTGCCAGAAGTTGGCTAATGTTAATCCTTCTTTCAAGGGAGGTGATAAAAATTGTTCCAGTAACTATAGACCTATTAATCTTACACATGTGGTAGGAAAACTTATGGAAGGCTGA